AAATTCCCAAAAAAAGCCTCATTTATTTTTTATTTGGATGTTTAATACCCAATTATTTTTTGTTGGAAGAAAAATACACATATTAATTAAACGGTGCGATTTAATACCCAAACAATTAAATATTGTTATTTTCATACTCACGAACTCACAACAAAAAATATATTCCAATTTTACCCTTACCATTTCAACTAATTATTAATTTTTATATGACATAACATTAGTTTTTTATTTAAATAAAAATTAATTTTTACTAATTTTTTATTTATGTTGCCTAAAAATAAATTTTTTTTATAGAATTATTTTATTTTAAAATTAAACATAAAAGAAAATCAAAAATATTAAAAATATTATAAATAGTCATTCCGTCTTTGCAATGTCAAAGAGACGTTTCTTCTTCGATTCTCAAATTTTCTCGATTAATCTCTACTATAATCGCCGGTAAACAATCTCCGTCGTCCTCTTTTGCAACCATCAAATTCGATAACCGTTCACGATCTCCTCTTAGTCGTATCCAAAATCTTCAATTCTTCATCGCCAATAAAACTAATTTGATTTTATTCGTCGTGATGCATATGATATTAACGAGCTTCGATATGAACTTTTTCTTCGTCGTGAGAAACTCTCTATTCGAATATAAATCCTTTACGAATGAAACTATTTTCGAAAAAATCTCAATTCGAATCTCATCGTCTTTCTCAAGATTTATCAATTCATAAAAATGGCCAATTATTTTTAAAATTTTTTTTTGCTAATTAATTTTATTTTAAAATTTAGAAATTAAATATTTGTAAAATAAACTGAAGATTATTTTGAAATTTTTTTTGAATTTTTTTGGGATAAAAAAGAAATGAAATATTAATAAAATTAAATTTTATTTAATTAAAAAATTAATGCCACGTCATCTAAAAGTTAATAATTAATTAAAATGGTAAGGGTAAAATTGGAATTTTTTTTTTGTTGTGAGTGCGTAAGTATGAAAATAACAATATTTAATTGTTTGAGTATTAAATCGCACCGTTTAATTAATATGTGTATATTTTTTCCAACCAAAAATAATTAGGTATTAAACGTCCAAATAAAAAATAAATGAGGTTTTTTTTGGGAATTTTCCCAAAAAAAAAGTAATACCAAGACATTAAAAGACAAGGCCAGTCCACGAGTGAATATAATATTACATAATAAAAAGTTGTTTTCTGGTTTTATAATATGTTGAAGATGAAGAGAAGAAAAGCAAAGGAAGTTCCAAAAGTAGAGAACACGATGAAGTAAAGGATCTAAAAGTGGACCATACAAATGAAGGAAAGAAAATATCATTGAATTTTTTTTTCTGTTTAAATGCAATAGACAATCTGCAAAACAATATAATGATCTTTGTGTTTAAATCTCAAATGTATACATGTCGTCGTTATGTAAGATCTTTACTTCTTATAAAAAAAAGAGATAATTGGTGAGTGACAAATATCTGGACTTTATTTAGTTTTCCATAATATTTTGTCGGAGTCCAAAACAAAGAAAATTTTAGCTCCTCTTTTTGCCAAAAATAGCCTCACGCATTTTTCTATTTGATATGATATGATTTAATACATGAGACATCAATATGTTGTGAATGAATATCTAAAAATCTTTATAGATCTATGTACATTTCTTACATGTTATCTTCCTCGTGTGTTGCCATCGTTTATATTGAGCCATGATCGAACAGAGCACTGCATTGTAATAGCAACACTTTAAATTCAACACAATAGTGTTGCTATTATTATGAATCTTTGTAAGTTCCGGTGACATTAATTTAACAAAAACTAATGAAAATGCAATGATAGTTCGACGAAATCCGGTGAAGATCTGGTGATAATTCAAAGAAATCCGGTAAAAACTCGACAAAAACCGGTGAAAATCCATCGAACATTTGACGAAATTTATGACTCTAATGATATTTCAATGTCCAATTACAATACATTATTCACTTGCTCTGTTCAACGGTTTGGGATACAGTGATTGTAGTTATTTGTAGCGTTTATACAAGTATACTAATGTTAATAACGCTCTATATACGTGTTTACATTTATACAAATGTTAATAAAGCTTTATACATGTGTTTACATGAATACAAATGTTAATAATGATTTATGTACATGTTCAGGTGTACATAAATGTTAATAACGCTCTATATATGTATACATAGATCCAATAACTTAACACTATAATTATTTTTAGCGCTCTATACATGTGTTTACATGTATACAAATATCAAAATCGGCCAACATATATTTGTAACGTGCTAATATTTTCCCAGTTTGAAAAAAACAAGAATTAATGTTAGTCTATCCGTTATTAAATGTTTGTAGCGTAAAGGTCAGGTCGTAGCAGAGCATTTATTAACGGTCGCTTCATTCTTTTTTGCCAAAAAAGTCAAGGCCGAGAATCCCACGCGCATGGCTGCGTATACATCTGGTTTTTCTGTAATTCTTTTTAAACTGAAGGTCCTTTGTAGCGCTATTTTTTTTTCGTCTCCGACAAAATCGACTTTTGTCGATTCCCTAATTAGAAACTCCATTTTTGTCTTTGCGCCAATCGTCCCTAAAAAAAATATACCTTATATGTAAGAGCTAAAAATACCTTTTGTAGATTTCCAAACAAAACTTAAGTTCCATTAAACATCTTGCTTTTTTACTCAATTCCAAATCACTATCTAAAGCCATCTAACTTTTTCTAAGTTTAACTAAAGCCATCTAACTTTTTCTAAGTTTAACTAAAGCCATCTAACTAGCTTTTTCTTTATAATCCTTCCAAACTTCCAATTGATTACCAGAGACTTTAAGTGGGCTTAGAGCTTTATAGCATACAATCTACTAATTTAGTATTATGACTAGACCATGACTGAGAGCATTCTTAGCAAAAAAAAATAAAAATGACGGAGAGCATTATGTCATGGACGGAATCTTTTGGATCAAACCCTGTGGCCGTAGCTAGTTTTTCTTGCCACAGAGAAATAGGTTAGTCTCGCTTATGCAAAAACTCAACCATTTGGAAATAAAGAACTAATTAAAAACTTAGAAGAAACGTTGTGAAACATACCAAGTGATGAACTCGAGTTTTACATTTGAATTTAAAAACTGCAAGTTCATGGTAAAGTTACTTGAATCACATTTGAGATTAGTCTACAAGGAGTGTTTGAAAAATTCATCAAACATACATTCATATTTTCACACTCGATCGTATCTTTTTACCTCTGTATAAACAATCGACATGTATGTTGTATTCTTCATTTCGACATAACGAAACAAAAAATCATAATACAATGCAGTACTTAATTTTATACATTCTTTCATTTATCTTTTATTTCTAACATATACACATTTGTCACAATGATCATATAATACGATAAGAATTCATTCTCTATAGACCACCTCGTCTAAAAAAATGAAAAGCGCTTTGTTGGTTCAGGCCCATACTCAATTCTTTTCTTATTGGGCAAAAAGGTGATAATACGCCGAAAGAAAAGCCCACTGGAGAAACCTTAATTTTGTTCTCAGAGAATGTGGGGTTTTTTTTTTTTTTTTTGTCAGTCTGTAGCGTTCCTATATAAATAAATATACCTAATCGTTACATTAATTCTTATAAGGAATTTTTGCCAAATGTACCACATTTTTTAAATTTCTTAGCATCTCTACTACAATATAGAATGGTTTAACATTTGTACCACTTTTTTGTGGTATTGTGGTAGACGATGGACGATTTTGCCCCTGATGACTCTGCAGAAAGAGAGAGAATGCGTCAGAAAACAGTACAACATGTTGAAAAAGGGGAACAACCACATTAAATGGTGACAATGATTATTAGACATTAAAATATAATACAAAGCATTAAATACTAGGTCAAGACAAATAATTAATTAATAAAAACGTTTGGGGAGATGATATGGGTTAAATTCGGGGACAACTGGATCTCTTGATTGTCCATCGCCAGATGATGTGGTTTTACCCACCAGAGATCTGGATTTACTCGGAGACAACTTCTCTTGATTGTCCATGGCCAGATAATGTGGTTTTACCAATCAGAGATCTGAATTTACTCGGAGACAACTTGATCTTTGTTTTATTCCGCCAAAGAGCCGAAGACGAAGATCTGAATTTACTCGGAGACAACTTTGTTTTACCAGCCAGAGGGACGCAAACGGTTACCAATGCGTCAGGAGAGAGACAAAGGACGACAGGAATTTCGAAAGGTCACATCAATCGTAGTTCCTTGTCTCACCAGTTGGAGGATAAAATGATTATTTTACAAGTACAATGTGGTATGAATGATAATTGGGCCTTGAATGTGGTATTGGTGCTAACTTTTTGGCCAAATGTGGTACCAATGCTAATTTTCTCTTCTTATAAACCGTAATCATTTTTATTTTGTTTTTGTTAACCACACATTCATTATAAAATAACTCTATGATTGATTGCCCAATTAGGAGGAGAAAAGTTTACAAAAGTAACATCAGAAAATAAAAATCTAGAAAAACGGGTTAGGCAGTCCGCCTTAAGATTACATGAACGAGAAATAAGAGAAAACGAGAAGAGGGGTATAAACCGTAATATTTTTTTGGATCAAATATTTTTTTTCTTGGTTTTGCATGTTACTTTGTTTTCGCTAGGATTTAGTTTTATATGATTTGATATGATTGGAAGAAGATTGGGAAGTGATGATTATTTCCCTTTCATGTTTCTCCCTTTCAGAGAGATTCCAAGCCAATTTTCTGAGCCCTTTTCTTCTTCCACATTTTTTAAAAATCAAAATCAATTTCATAGTTATTTATTTTATGCTCACTAAAAAGGTAATTTGTGACAACAACGCCATTTTCGCTTAGGTACCTCTAGTTCATTTAGAGGCTTTGGTCACCGGGAATATTTCCATTTTTCGCCGGATTTGGGGAAGATTTTCTTGTTTTTCGTCGTAATCTTAGTTAACTTTCCATATCTTTTGTGAAGTTTAACCTAGCTTTGACATCCTCCGCCGCAGTTTGCTTCCTTCAATCTCCCCATTACCGTTTTGAAGCAACTACAAAGGAGATCTCTCTGGCTTGTGTGAGTCTTACGTATGGAGTTTGCTTTGGATAAAGCTCTACAAGAGATGTCACTAGATGATGATAAACCAATTGTTTTGAAAAACCTACCTAAATACAGTTCCATTGTGCGAAACGGCTGTAGTATCATTGGAAAGCTTTTGTGCCCTGAAAATCAGAAGATGTCAGCCATGATACATGAGATGCCACGACTGTGGCGAGTTAACAGCAGAGCAAAAGAAATTGCTCTTCCGAACGACAAATTCCAGTTTATCTTTGACTCGGAATCAGATCTCTTGACGATTCTCGAAGCTGGAGCTTGGACTTTTAATGACTGGAGTATGACCTTGGAGAGATGGACAGAGAACCCGCCGGAAGACTATCTAAAGATCATCCCAATTTGGATCAGATTAAGGAACATTCCGGTTAACTATAATACAGAAGAAACAATCAAAGGTTTTGCAGAGCACATCGGTCAAGTAACAGACGTGGCTTTTGATCCTTCGAAGCCAAGAAGTAGAGGCTATGTCAGAGTGCGGATTCTTTTTGACATTAATAAGCCATTGAAGAATAGCAGGGATCTTCAACTACCAACAGGAGAGGTAGTTAGCATTGGTATAGAGTATGAACGTATCAGGAAGAGATGTTACCAATGTTTACGCCTTACACACGATAAGGAACGCTGCCCTTTTAACCCTTTAAACCGGCAAGCAATTGCTACGGGAGGGATGAAAGTTGCAAGTATTGTCCCGAGTCGTTTGATTCCTAAAATAAGCAAAGATGACCCGTTGTATGGAGTTTTAACGGATGATGATGTGGGTATTGACCTGGTTTCCGGGACACCAAAAATTGCAAAGGAAGTTTTAGATGAGATGAGACAGTACCTATCGGTTGTGGATCAACAGGAGAGGAAGATTCGAATTGATAGGGTCCATAAATCAGTTTGGGGACTTGAGAATGACATTCAAGGTCAAAAAACTTTACTGCGTTTGGAAGCTCCTGCAAGGATCACAACTGCCATCAATAAAGGGAAAGGATTAGTGTTTGATTTTGATCACTCTGACAATTCACCAGCCGGCATAGAGAACTCACCAAGAATAGGTATCTCAGACGGGCAACATGATAATGTTCAGCTAACACGTCATTCTTCTTCCGATATCTTTGCAACAGCCTCTGAACAATCTTGTGGTTCTACGGTCATTCGGGCTGGCTCTACAGCTAGTCCAGCCGGAACTAAAGCTAAACCTACAAAGAATCGGAGATGCCCTAATCATTGGAAGAGGAAAGCTCAAGCACGGGCCAAAACTGCAGGTCTAGTCGTGCCTAAAGAGGTTAAGAAGAATGAAGTCGTAATGGTGTACAAGAGAAAGGCTACTGATGAAGCCGCTAATTCATCAAAGCTCGCCAAGCGAGATGAAGAGAAGGTGGTTTCGAATGAGGAACCGCCGAAACAAGTATGAGTTTTATGAGTTGGAATTGTCAAGGCTTGGGGGGCACCTTGACAATTCCTACCTTGAAGGAAATGCGGCGTGAGCATTTTCTGGATTTTTTGTTCCTCCTGGAGACTAAAAACTCCAGCATTCACGTGAAGAAAATTCAACAATGGATGGGCTATGATCACTCTCATATTGTTGATCCTATTGGTTTAAGTGGTGGATTAGCATTCTTCTGGAAGGCGGCATATGAAGTTGAAGTTATTAGCTCGGATAACAGGATTATTGATGTAAAAGTTAAGCTTGGGTCACAACGATTCTTTATTTCTTGTGTTTATGGTGATCCAGCCTCTCATTTAAGACAAGAAATTTGGAATCGATTAATTGATATTGGAGTTTCTCGAGATGATCCATGGTTGGTTTTGGGAGACTTGAATGAAATTCTTAATAATACAGAAAAGCTTGGTGGACCAGCACGGGCGGAATCATCCTTCTTTCCTTTTCGGAATATGATAAATGATTGCCGTCTACGGGAGGTCCCAATCATTGGAAATAAATTCTCTTGGGCTGGTGAACGTAACAACCAATGTATACAATGTTGCTTAGATAGAGCGCTTGGGAATGAAGCTTGGTTCCATCTCTTTCCACGGGTTCAAGTAGAGTTTTTGGAACGTGTAGGTTCGGATCATCGACCATTATTTCTCAGGTTCGTAAGTGAAAACATATCCAGATCGGGCATGTTCATGTTTGATAAAAGGTGGGTGGCTAAACCAGAACTTCTAAGTATCATAAGAGAGGGATGGAATAAAGAAGGCAATGAAGGCCAAACGGATCGCAGTGGAAACGTAGTTCTTCTCAAAACTCTAGTTCTTCTCAAAACTTCATCGTATATCTGAGTGTAGAAAGCTTATATCGCAGTGGAAACGTAGTTCTTCTCAAAACTCTAAAGTACGTATCAAACAGCTTCGTAATCAGCTGGATAATGAAGGAATGAAGACGCATCCACACCATGGTTTGATGAGATCACTTAAATGGGATCTAGCGGAAGCCTATCGAGAAGAAGAACTGTATTGGAAACTTCAAAGTAAGGAAAAATGGTTAAGTGAAGGTGACCGGAACACCAAATTCTTTCATGGTAGTGTCCAAAGACGAAGAGTACAGAATCGTGTTCTTTCTCTTTTTGATGAAAATGAGACGGAACAGTTTACGGAAGGATCGAAAGAAGAGATTGCGGTAGAGTATTTCCGGAAGATGTTCACTAGCTCTAATCCATCTCTTATTTCGGAAGCTTTAAACGGAATGGTACCAAGAGTTTTAGAAAGTATGAACACGGAGCTGACCAAGACGGTTACAAGTGATGAGATTAAGAAAGCGGTTTTTAGTATACGTGGAGACAGCACTCCTGGGGCAGATGGTATGTCTGCTCATTTCTATCAAACATATTGGGACATTGTTGGACCACAAGTCATTGACGAGGTGCAGCGATTTTTTCAATCTGGTAATCTTCCATCGGAATGGAACTTTACACAGATTTGCTTGATCCCAAAAAAGGTTAACCCTTCATGAATGACTGATTTGCGACTTATAAGCTTATGCTCGGTGATTTATAAGATTGTCTCCAAGATTTTATGTGCGCAACTTAAGTTGTTTTTGCCTAGTTTAGTATCGGTGACTCAAGGAGCCTTTTTCGCCGGAAGACTCATCTCCGATAATATTCTTCTTGCCCACAAAATGGTCCATGCGTTGAGAACAAATCCACATTGTGATGAGGACTTCATAGCCATTAAAACCGATATGTCAAAGGCTTATGATAGAGTGGAATGGGATTTTTTAGAAGAGTTGCTTCTCCGGCTTGGTTTTAATATCCGTTGGGTACAATGGATAATGAGTTGCGTTAGATCGGTCTCTTATTCGGTTCTCCTTAATGGTTCATCATATGGTTTCATTAAACCGGAGAGAGGTATACGACAAGGCGATCCGTTGTCACCATTTCTATTCATTTTATGTGCTGAAGCTCTTGTACATATAATGAATAAGTCTGAACTGGAGGGTCGGTTAACAGGGCTGCGATTAACACCGGCTTGTCCTTCAATCCAACATCTTCTTTTTGCGGACGACAGCTTGTTCTCGTCCAAGCCACATTTAAAGAATGCTCTGAACTTAAACGCTGCCTCCTCCTATACGAAAAAGCGTCAGGCCAAATGATTAATTTCACGAAGTCTACAATTACTTTTGGGAGGAAATTAGATCCATACATGAAGCAGTTGATTAAGGAATTCACTGGTATTGATCAAGAGGTGGTACTGGAAAATATTTAGGTCTCCCGGAATGTTTTAGTGGATCAAAGAGCGCACTTCTTGGATATATAAGCGATCGTTTGAAGTCAAGACTAAGTGGTTGGTATGAGAAAACTCTTTCCTTGGGAGGTAAGGAAGTTCTCATCAAATCTGTGGCTTTGGCACTACCGGTATACGCTATGTCTTGCTTTAGATTGACTAAATACCAGTGTCAACAACTCACAAGTGCCATGTCTAGCTTTTGGTGGAATGCAAGTGAAGACAAGCATAAGATGCATTGGGTTTCTTGGGAAAAAATTTGCAAGTCCAAGGCAAAAGGAGGATTGGGTTTCAGGGATATAGGTCGTTTTAATCAAGCCCTTCTCACAAAACAAGCTTGGCGACTTCTTGATTACCCGCGGTCTCTTATTTCCAGAGTGTATAAGGCTAAGTACTTTGCCAACAAATGCTTCTTAGATGCGAAAATTGGGTATAGACCCTCGTATGCATGGCGTAGCATCTTATTTGGCAGGGAAATCTTAGAAAGAGGTCTCATGAAAACAATAGGGGATGGCCAACAGACCAACGTTTGGGTGGATAAATGGATTTTAGATACATTCCCAAGGAGACCGATCAACAATGAGTTATTGATGGATCTTAATCTGATGGTTTCCTCTTTAATAACTCCACATGGTGATTGGAATGTTCAAAGGCTCAATGAACTCTTTCCTCCCTGTGATGTTACATACATTAGATCATTTCCTCCTGAGGTTAGTGTTTCAGATAAAAGTGTTTGGGCTTACACGAAAGATGGAAAGTATTCTGTGAAGAGTGGTAATTGGGTTCTCACGAGGGAAGCTGAATTAATGGAGGTTATCCCAACATATATTCAAGTAGCTAACAAGGTTAAAGAAAGGGTATGGAAAGTTACTACAGCTCCAAAGATCAGACTTTTCCTCTGGCGAGTTCTATCGGGGGCCCTTGCGATTGCTGATTGTTTGAGAAGACATGGTCTTAATACTAATCCGATGTGTCAGCTATGTCATGGTACAAATGAAACAATCTCTCATGTTCTGTTTGATTGTCCTTTGGCTCAAAATGTATGGACTATCACGGGCTTGCCTTTGTGGTCTCCTGGCTCGTCTATTTCCATTACGGAACAGATTGACCACCTTTTGGATTTAACAGAGAAGCAGGATTTAGACAAGGAGCTACGGGAGGCCATTCCCTGGTTGTTGTGGGAGATTTGGAAGGCGAGGAATTCTACTCTGTATGCGGCAAAGTCTAACTCTCCACACTTTGTTGTTGCTACAGCGTTGGAAGATGCTAAGGAGTGGCTGCAGCAAAATATTTTAACTCAACAAGGACATGTTCAAAGGAACCAGAGACAAATGTTGGGTGAAAAGTTATGGACCAAACCTGAGTTTGGGAAAGTCAAATGTAACATTCATACTTCTTGGATTAAGGATTCATGTCATGTTGGCGGAGCCTGGATCGTACGGAATCACATGGGGGATGCAATTTTTCATGCGCGGGATGCTTTACTGCCCATGTTTAATCGTTTAGCTGCAGAGCTTCATGGCTTTCTTTGGTGTTTACGCAGTCTAAAAGACATCCGCATAGAATCATGTGAATTGTGGTCAGATTGTGGTGCGGCTATTGATTCTTTACGAAGACCGGAGGAGTATCCCAAATACCGTTCTCAGATTATCAAGATACAACAAGTAATACGGGTGATGCGGGAGGTTAGTTTCCACCTCTCTTCACCGAAAGCCAATTCTTTGGCTAGGGAGATTGCTTGTAGTGTTACTCGCGAAGGACGCTTTACATCTTATTTAGCGAGAGGAGGTCCGGCTTGGTTACATAATCGGATTGAGGATGATCGGCGAGGTCGACGATGATGGGTTTCGTTTTTCTTTTACTCTGTTTAATTGTTGCAGTTCCTCTGTTTTTGATATTACTCTGTTTTTGGTAAACTACTCATTTGGTTTTAATATTAAGACGACAAAAAAAAAAGTTATTTATTTTACATGATTGAATAATTGTTTGATTAGATGGAAGTGAGGATTATTTCCCCAAATGATCGAATCTGAACAAACTGAGCGAATTGATTTATCTTTTAGAGATATTCAAGCCTATTTTTGATCCATGCTTTTTTCAATATTTTATTTTTTAATTCTTGAAAATATTTTGGGCATTTTTTTTTTTGGTAAAACGATTTATTTGGCCTTTTTTCTTTTCCTTGCTTGGCTTCTTGTTTGTTTTTTAATTGTTTTTGAGAAGTTGAATTATATTCTGATAAATTTTCCCTCAGTGTTTTTTTACCTTTCGATCTATGGGTGCATCACTAGTTATTCTGATGTTCAAAGAAAAATTGAGTTTGTGTAATTCATGTTAATTTAGATACATATTATTTTCTTTTAATAGTTGATTGTATTTAACAACAAAGAGGTTATTGTCGAAAGCCTGGGGATTCGCTCCGCAAGACAAATGAACACAGCCTTATTGTCGAAAGCGGGGTGGCGGCTTCTCCATGATGATGTGGGTTTGTGGTCACGGATTTTACGGAGCAAATATAAGGTTGGGGACTCAAGGGTTTGTAATTGGTTGGTAACCAAAGGTACTTGGTCGTCTACATGGAGGAGTATAGCTATTGGGTTGAAGGAAGTGGTGCTTCCGGGTTTAAGCTGGGTGCTAGGAGACGGGAAGCAGATCAGTTTTTGGGGAGATAAATGGTTATTGGATGCGCCAATATGTGAGTTGGCTACTCGGGAATTACCAGGCAATTGGAAGGCAATTAAGGTCAGCGACTTTTGGCTTAATGGTACGGGTTGGGACTTTCAACGGATTAATCCTTTTATTCCGGAGAAAGTGC